ACTGGTGGACCTTCCACTGGGGGTTCATCGACTGGAGAATCATCAGCCAGCGGGTCATCAGCTGGTAAATCGACAGGTGGACTTTCTACAGCACTTTTCTCCTTTAGTATTGCTGTTTCTAAAGCACATAGTTTATCTATCCCAGCTGCATCATTTGGGCCAAGATTTGCTTACTGGAGCAATTCAACTTCAACGTATTGGCCACCTAGTACTTATTCTTTGTCAACCTCATTACCTTCAGGTAGTAATTATGTCACTGATATTGCATCATCATCTGCTGCAGGTATTAAGTTGTCAGGTGGATCATCAACTTATGGACCATCAACAAAGACTGATGGATCATCAACAGATGGATCATCAACAAAGGCTGGACCATCAACAGATAGATATTTAACTGAGACAGATACATCGTTCGCTGGTGGTTCATCATCAGGTGGATCATCAACAGATATATCTTCAATGAGTGCATCTTTAATTGAGGCTGGTGGCTCATCCACTAGCGACTCATCATCTGGAGAACCATCAACTGGTGGATCATCAACTAAAACTACTGGAACTTCTAGCGGTTCATCAACTGGAGAATCATCAACTGGTGGTGCCTCATTTAAGACTGGTGGCTCTTCCACTGGAGAAACATCAACTGGTGGAACTTCATCTGGAGGATCTTCTGTTAAGACTGGTGGCTCCTCTACTAGTGATTCTTTAACTAGAGAATCGTCGACTGCTGGATCTTCAACTAAGACAACTGGATCTTCCACGAGCAATTCATCAACTAGAGAATCATCAACTGGTGGTGCCTCATCTAAGACAGGTGGAACTTCAACTGGCGGATCTTCAACTAAGACTGATGGATCCTATATTAATGGGTTATTAACTAAGACGACTGGATCTTCCACAAGCGGTTCATCAACAGGAGAATCATCAGTTGGTGGAACCTCAACTAAGACTACTGGAACTTCTACTAGTAGTCCATCAACTGGAGAAACATCAACTGATGAAAATTCATCTGGTGGATCTTCAGCTAAGACTGGTAGCTCTTTCATTAGCGGGTCATTTAAGACTGGTGGCTCTTCTACTAGTGATTCATCAATTAGAGAATCATCAACTGGTGGAGCCTCAACTAAGACAAATGAATCTTCCACTAGCGGTTCATCAACTAGAGAACTACCAACTGGTGGATCTTCAGCTATGACTGGTGGATCTTCAACTGGTGGCTCTTCAACTAAGACAACTGGATATTCCACTACTGGCTCATCAACTGTTGGATCTTCCACTAGCAGTTCATCAACTGGAGAATTATCCACTGGCAAATCAACAGGTGGAGAAACATCAACTGGTGGTGCCTCATCTCAGACAGATAGATCTTCAATTAGTGGACCTTCCTCTGGCGGACCTTACATTAGCGGTTCATCAATTAGAGAACCATCAACTAGTGGTGCCTCACTTAAGACTGGTGGCTCTTCCACTAGCGGCTCATCAATTGGAGAATCATCCTCTGGCAAATCAACAGGTGGATTTTCAACTATGACTGGTGGTTCTTCCCTTAGCGGTTCATCAACAGGAGAACCATCAACCGGTGGATCCTCAACTAAGAGAGGTGGATTTTCCACTATCCGGGCATTAACTAAGAGTGGCTCATACACCAGCGATTTATCATCCAAAGAACCATCAACTGGTAGATACTCAACTACAACTCCTAGATCTTCTACTAGCGGTTCATCAATTGGAAAATCATCGACAGGTAGTTCTTTAACTGGTAGGTCTTCAACTGAGACAGGTGTTTCCTTAACTGAGACTGGTTCTTCAACTGAAACCGGTGGTTCTTCAATTGGGGGATCTCTAACTGAGACCGGTGGATCTTCAACTGGAAGTTCTTCCACTGACACTGGTGGGTCATCCACAAGCGGTTCTTCTACCGAGACTGGTAGATCCTCAACTACGACTACTGGAGCTTCCACTAGCGGTTTATCAACTGGAAAATCATCAACTGGTGGTGCCTCATCTAAGACAGATAGATCTTCAATTAGTGGATCTTTAATTGAGATTGGTGGCTCTTCCACTAGCGACTCATCATCTGGAGAACTATCAACTGGTGGATCTTCAACTAAGACTGATGGGGGTAGATCATTCACAGATGGTTCTTTAACTGAGAATGGTGGATCTTCGACTGGAGGGTCTTTTACAGGTAATTTTTCTGATGGTTCTGAACCTTCTAATACTGGAGTCCCTAGCGCATTAACCAGTGATTCAGGGTCTTCAACCAGTTCTTCTTCCAGTGAACCAACGGCAATAAGTTGTGCATATGATGGGTTGACTGCGATAGGATTTATGGCTAGAGAATATTTATACAAGCCTCCAGTTGACCTCGCTACTTATCTTGACACTGGGTATGAATCGGGTACTGTGTTAAAAACATTATATGATGTTGTAGAGCTTGGAGTCCAATATAATACTGCCTTCGTACTAGAATTGACAGGTTATTTCAAACCTCCGACTGCTGGCAGGTACACGTTGCAATTAGATAATGTTTTAAGTGGAGGGGAGTTGCATTTTGGTGCTACGGAAGCTTTCTCTTGCGGAAGTGAATTAACAAAAAGAGCCGAAGTATCTCCTTTGATAATAGAAGGTACCACAACTAGCGGTGAGATAACTGTTGATTTAGAGCTAGATGTCTACTATCCAATCAAAATTGTCAACATATACGCAAATGGAGACGAGAATATTGTTTTTACAATAATCGGTCCAAATGGAGAGACTTTCACAATACAAGAGATCATTGTACACTATGGAAGCGATACAGCTAGAGGCAGTTCCAGCTTCTCTTCAGGTTCAGCTGGTTCTTCTTATGCAAGCGTAACCTCTACTGAACCACCTACCTTTTTATTAACAATGCCGTCTTCTACATTAACCTCAGTCCGATCAACAACGTTGACAATATCAATCACAAGCTCTACAGAATCCGGAAATACGACAGAAACGGGAATACTATCTAGTGTATCGGGTTCAAGCAGATTAGAACCAGGTTCAAGCTCAGGTGGATCAGGTGGATCAAGTTCAGAATCAGACTCAAATGGATCAAATGGATCAATTGCTTCAGGATCAGGTTCAAGCAATGGATCTAGCGGATCAGGGTCAGGATCAACATCAGGATCGAATAATTCTGATGGTTCAAGTGGATCAGGATCAAGTGGATCAAGTGGATCAAGTGGATCAAGTGGATCAAGTGGATCAAGTGGATCAAGTGGATCAAGTGGATC